TCCACAAGCGTTAAAAATATTCAAATCAACCTACAATTAATTGTATGTTAATTGAGTGATAAAAGTGTTTATTCAGATAATGTTTAGGTATATTTACTGGTGATTGAATTCACATGTGTGTGCACCCAAAACGTCAGGGAAACCTCGTCGATGATGGTGTCATTCTCAGCTTATAACAATCTTGTTTCATGGTTGGATATTATTCAGCACTTGGAAAATAAATAAACTGAGGACATACAGCTATGAGGGCGCTGGTACCTTCCCTGATGGCCTCGCATGCTTCCGATTGAGTTTACCACTACCCGCAACTAACCACTACAACTCCCTGTAACATAGAATTGTTGTAGAGCCACGTACAACTTGTGCATCGGTGTTAGATGCTGGTAACGTCGTTTTAGTGTGTCTCTTGTTAAATCTGAGGTTATGAGTTCTAAAACAAACCTAAATACTTCTCTGTTTAACCTTGTCAGTTGAAAAAGTGGCCTTTTAGAAATCCGGCGAATCGTAAAGCTGCCTGATTAATCTCTGGTCGCCATTTTCGCTATCACTTGAATCGCTTTCACAAAACTTAGCGGCGAGGGCGAAGCCCGCCAAATCGACTTGAGCTGTAAAACCAGAGAAAAACGCTATGCGTGTAGACACCGACGATAGGTATCGAAGCGGATAGTGACGTCATTGCTATCGAAACGGCAAAATTCAACTTGAAATCGCATAGAAACGGTTCTCCCATCATGGTAGAAGTTTTCTTGTATCATGTCTCCCACTAGTCTTTGGGGCCCTCATTATCATTATCACTATCACTACTTTCAGAAAAATTTGCGGCAATTACCACCAAAACTTGTGCAACCGCCATTGCAACAAATAGACAAATACTTTCATTTGACATTCATAGTTCAAATCGACAGTGGCGCCGCCACAGGTCAGAAATGACTCATTTCCTACCGCTTGCGTTATACTGACCGCTTTCAGCTTTTCCGACTTGTTGAAAAATATATCGTGAAATCGCTCACTTTCTAACGTTTCAGAGGTCAGAAATGTTGTATGTTACTGACTGATTGTGAATAAAATAGTTATTTGGGTAACAAGTACCGAAATCAGGTATTTTTGGAGGGAGTGTTTTCAAGACAGTATACATATTGTTTGATTAGCACCAAAAGTGATTATTTTCATACGAGCCTGTCAGTTAACAGAAGGAACCAACGAAGGTGGCGCCCACTATTTTTAGCTTTGCGTTTCGTGAAAAGTAATTTTTTCTCAAACAAAACGTATTATTTTTTCTTCAAAGGTCGATTAAGTTGATTTGATTCCAATTTTTAATCCAAAAACAAAACATATTGTCATTTTTTTGCTGCCGTCCAGCAGCAGTTGCACAAATGTTTTCTGTCACTAAACAACCAATCAGATGGAGTTTTATTGTTCAGCAGCAGGACTAGATTTTTACAACAAACAATTTTTCCTGCCTAAGCCGTAAAATAAGTTATTGCTTGCATTTACTGAGGGACACAACATCCCATTTTAACGACGTTTGAAGAAAAAATATATATTGGTACAAATCTAAACCAACAAATTTGGAAATACGAAATATCAAATTCCAGATTACGGTGCCAAAAGCAGAGCGCCAAGTGGCTCTAAGATCCGTTATTCACCTTTACCAATGGACATTAATGATACTATTACAAAAAATTCTGTGAGTTTATATTATTTTCTAAATTAAATCATGAGAAAATTTGAAGTTCTAGGCTTGGTTAACTAAAAATAATTTTGATGAAGTCCCTCAGGATTTTGAAATTAAATCTATGCTGACAGATGAAAATGCGGAAATAAAAAATATTGACGTAGTAGAAGAAAAAAGACATGTTTGAAGAAAAATGAAGTACTTCCTGTCCTCCCCGAAGACCCAGTCGTAGAAGAAATTCGATATGACGAATTGGCCGTTATAAACTGTAATAAATTATGCAATAAGTATACTTCAAAACACCACCACAAAATAACAAGTGCGCGGTTGCGATTAATCGGCAAGTTTTTAATAGAAATGAAAAAAAATTGAACATTCTATTGAAAATTTGGAATCCATCTTTAACCCTCGTTATTAAAATAGTACAGTAAAATGTATAAATATTGTGGGCCAACGTAATGAAAGTCCAGGCCATGCAATGTCAGATTTTCTATAAGAGGTAAATTAGGTCGAGTAGTGCCAGTTCTGATTTCAAAGGATTTACTAGAATGTATAGAATTGTTACTTGAGAACAGAAAAGCAGTGGGTATTAGTGACGAAAATCCGTATGTTTTTGGGTTGCCACATCCTGACAGATCACATCATCATCTAGATGCATACCAGTTAATGGTTCAGTTTTCCGAAAAATGTGGAGCAAAAAACCCCATAAGGAAGTAACGTTGCCCTCTAATGAAGACATTTCAGCAATTGTTATACACGGTAGCTACTATATTACTACCTCCTCCAGAAAGAGAAAAACAATTGCCTTATTAGATAACAAATTTATTATTTGATTTTTCACAACTCTGCTTAAAACAACGTTGATGAGTTTAGGGCGATAAAGGTCAATTTTTAAAAAATTAACACAGTGCAAAATGCTTAAGTGTATCATACGGAGGGATTGGCACTTCAAGTGAACACTCATTTACTTAGTATAAAAAGAGTTCTAGATTTAGGTATGGACAAAGACTGCTATTTTGTGATAAAACTATGCAGCAATTGATTAATGATTAAGAGTCCTGTAAATTATATTTGAAGGGGTAAGAAGTAAAAGGATATAAGTGACTTCCTGTGTAAAATTGACTTAAGTACAGACTGAAATACTTAAAAGTACAGATTATTTACTACTAAAACGATCTACGCGATTTTTGATCTTTTAACACCATCTATTAAATCTTGAAAAAAGTAAGCTATCAAAACTACTTAACTGGTTGGTGGTAAAATGATCTACGCGTGCTTAGTTCGTTCTGCCGCGTCAAGTACCTACTATTTGTAAATATTAGTCACTTAGACCGATTAGTTAAGTTACCACTCTACTTAGTTGGTGCTCCATATGCCTTCAAATCAGATGATACTTAGTGTATCCTGAAACGTACAACTGTAGACAGATGGTAGTTTAATTACAAAAAAATCGTAAAATTTGGAAACGGTCTGCCAGACCGAGGATGGGTGCTTACTAGGGATGTACCGACTAGTGGCCGACTGGTCGGATAACCCGACTATTCGGCCGTTTTTCGTCGTCGGCTGGCAGTCGGCGACTGGTCGGCTAAACAGCCGATCGGTCGGCTTTTTTTATTAAAATTAAAATAGTAGGTATATAATACAATTAAACCCGGTGTACAGAACCGCAATTAAATATTTAATTGCGATTTAATTTTTAACACAGTGTTAAAGTACCATGTGACCGACTCTACGCCAATCAGACGTCGCTAATGGCCTTGTTAAATGCGTGATCAACTTAATCTCAGTTAAAATATTGTATAAACTGGCCCTAAATTGTGTTATTCTTTATATTTGTACTGAGTTACTACAAAAAAGAAATGTTAAAATTATCCAAACAAATTTAACACATTTTTTGGAAAACAAAGGAACTTTAGTTATTCCTTTTATTAAAATAAAACAAATTTTTAAGGTAGTCAGAAATATACAAAAAAAAAAACACACTTTCTGTCGCATTTATAAACCGGTTTTAGCAAAGCCGAACAGTCGGCCGACTAGTCGGTTTTTACTGGCCGAACAATCGGCTAGTCGGTTAGTCGGCCAGACCTACAGTCGGTACATCCCTAGTGCTTACATAACTGAACATTCTTGGCGCGATATTTCGCAATGACCTGTGCATAAAACATAAGTTGCTTGCTGGGACCTTCAAAAACAGTTAAATTAAATGATCCTGATTACGAAAACACCTTAGTGCCGTGATTTTAGGATATTCTAATTTTAACAAAGAACAGGATAATAACGACGACGGAAGACCCCCAAAACGAAAAACGTGTTCCCTATGCCCTTAACAAAAAAAAAGAAACATCCAATATATTTGTATGTCATGCCAAAAATCCAGCATGTCTACTACAATGTGCACGCTACACTGAAAAAAATTAGTGTAATTTTACCCTACAAAAATTGTAATCTTACTCATTTTATACGAGTGTTTTTACATGAATGAAGTGATTTTACCTTTTCTGAGTTATTTTATACTTTAAAGTGGGATTTTACACGTATTCGAAGTATTTTTACTGTAAATGAGAGAAATTACTCTATTTATAGAAAATTTTACCATCAAAGAGTGAATATTAATGGACTTGTGTGTAATTATTATTTCCAACAAGTAAATTTTACACTGGTCAGCAAAATTAATACTTAAAATGTAAAATTCCTACATAAAATGTAAAATTACTTAACAAAAAAATACACGAAAACAAATCTTTTACATGTCACTTGCTACTATAAAAAAGTTGGTCTAAGGTTATTTAAATCGAACTTCCATCGCCCCTCGAGTACAGTAAAATCTAGTCTCTGATTTAAAAGTTCAAATAAAGAGAAACTATATGAATAAAAAAACAGGAGATTCATTCATTCATCATTCATTTTTCATAGTCGAAGGGTGATGAAAAGTATGGAAAACATAAAACTAACCGTTCGGCGAATGGACCCTAGTATATACAATATTCCCCAGCTTACGTAGTTCAAACTACAATCAAACCTGCAATGTATTCGATGAATTTATTTTATCATATCACTTTCCGAGTACTAGGGCCATTTGACGAATGGCTGCTTTCATGTTTTCCCGACATTTCATGTACCCCCAAAGAGTATGAAAAAATTGGTTTCCCGTTTTCGTTTGTCTATCGTCTGCCGTCTGTTGGCGTTTTTATTACATGTGTACATAATCTCTGAAACTGTTTTAATAAAAACGGGTATGTGTACCTTTATTTCATGGGCCTGCGATTTTGAATTTTTTTTCCGAAACCGGCCCTGCACGGTGCGAATACAGTCCTGTTTATCTTAACCTTGAATTTACCAATCACGACCTTTCCCGCTTTTCGTCTGCGACAAGCAGTGGAACAATATTCGCAATTCAGCACATGTTATGGCATAACTGCATAAGGAAGAGATGACAAGAAGTGTAATACACGTGTGGTGTTGGTGCGTAATTGGCTACATTGCTATACAATTATACAGTGTTTATTTGGGTATCTTATTAGAATTGAATTATCATTGTATGCTGTCTTTCGTAGAAAACTACGTGACAATGTCGAACTTTGAATGTTACACTTGCAATTTAAAATTGCCCACATTAAGAGACTACGACTCACATCAGTATTATCATAGGCAGATAAAGCAGACAAGATTTTTGTGCAGATACGAAAATTGTCAACAGCAATAAACTAATTACCGTAGTTTTAAAATGCATGTGTATCGGAAACATAAAAATGAATCTGTTCGGTCAAACATAAACAATAACCGATCTCAGTCACCATATAAATGTAATGTGCAGTTTTGTTATTTTGAAATAGAATCGTCATATAATAAATTATTAAATCATATGTATGATCACATACAGGGTGGAATGCAAGTAAAGTGTCCCTTTGAGAACTGCAGAAATATTGCGGTTTTTCATAGCGTCAGTGCTTTGAAACGTCATTTCTACCGTTTACATTACACAGCAATAAAATATGGCAAGAGAGACAAAAATCAAAAACTGTGTGAAGATTCGTTACGTAATAATCCTGAAAAAAAAGATGGTAACGTGACGTGTAAAACGGTTCAATTTTTTACAGACACAGCAATTGTAGAGGAGCAAGTGAATTTGTCAAAATTATTCAGCGAAGTTTACATTAAATCTCTGGCTTCGGCATATTTAACATTGCAGGCGAAATATTTTATGACCGAAACTACTTTGCAACTAATGACCGCAAATCTTGCCAACCTAAACGATTTAACTTTAAAGAATATTTCCAAAATAGTAGAAACAAAATTCAATATTGATATATCTGAAATCGTAAATAAACATAATCTTTTTAATCAAGCACACAATCCTTTGTCTGGTGTGTTGAGGTCGCCTTATGTACGTAAAAAGTTTTATCAAAAAAACTTTAATTACGTAGCTCCCTCCTGTTGACATTATTCTTGACGAAAAAGGTTCAAAAAAAATGTTCTACTGTTACGTGCCTATATTAGAAACTATTAAAGTTTTAATGTCAAACAGCAATTTTTATAAACAATTTAAAATGATTCGAAAATCAAAATCTGGTGTGTTTTCCGATTTTTCTGATGGTGAGTGCTACCGACAAAATGTATTTTTCCAAAAAAATTCCAATGCTTTGCAAATCATTCTTTATCAAGATGCATTTGAAGTCTGCAACCCTTTAGGTTCGTCTAGATTAGTGCACAAAATTGTAGGTATATATATGTGTTTTGCCAATGTCCCACCACACTATCGAAGTCAAGTTGATCAAATACAATTGGTTGCACTTTGTTTAGAGTCTGTAGTAAAGCAATATGGTTTTAAAAATATTTGCAAACCAATTATTAGCGACATCAAAATTTTAGAAACTGAAGGCATAAAAATTGGAACGGGCGAGGTTATTAAAGGTACCCTTGTTGTTTCACCAGCAGATAATTTAGGGAGCCATCAAATCGGCGGGTTTGTTGAAAACTTTAGCAGCACACATTATCCATGCCGTTACTGTTACATTTCAAAAGAGGATATCATGAAAAAAATTAAGTATTCAACTCAGTTCTGTTTTAGAAACAAAATTACCCACGAATTAGACGTTGTTCTAGCATCTAGCATCTAGCTATGAAGGAGTTCTTCATTGCGATTTCATACTTTGCTTAGAAAAGCTTATTACACAAAATTGTTTTACTTACGAAACATTTAACAATCGACTAAAAAAACTTCGTTTCTTAAATGAAAGTCGCTACGAATCTATCCCGACCATTAAAAAAGGAGACAAAAAGAAACTTACGGGTAGTGCTTCTGAAAATTTGAGATTGTTAATAATATTTCCGTTTGCTACGCATGATCTTCGTATTGAACATCCTTGTTGGACAATGCTTCTAAAATTACGTGAAATTAATTTCATTTTGACTGCTTTTAAAATTTCTGTTGCTCAATTGGCTAATTTGAGAAGATTAATATACGAATATGTGGAAATGAGAGTTAAATTATTTCCCGACGTGAATCTGAGAGCAAAGCACCACTATTTGTTGCATTATGCGTATTTGATAAAAAAATTTGGTCCCCTTCGACATCTTTGGACTTTGCGCTTTGAGAGTAAACACCGTTACTTTAAAAGTATATTAAAACATTCGACTAGTTTTAAAAACATTATTCGCCATTTATCAGAAAAACATCAATTACTGCAGGCTGTGCATACATCAAATGGTACGCTTTTCTCTGATTTGGTCAATGCTAATGATGCAAATGAATATATATCTGAAAATTATGAACAAAATATTCGTTCATGCATTTCACGTTTCTGTAATTTCCGTGGTAAATTATTTGTCACTAAAAAAATTTCGTTTAAGGGAACTCAATACAGTGAGGGAATGCATTTGTGCAGTTCTAAAATTGACGATAATGTCTACTCTATTTTCTGTATTGTTTTCATTATTATTAATGAGACATATAAAGACGTATTTTTTGTTGGCTCGACAATGGAAGTTTCTTACAATTCTGTCACAGGTTTATTGGAAACATCAACATGTACTGATGAGAAAAAAATTATCGGAAAACACATAGATGATTTAATAACACACCAACCTTTGCTCACATTCGTATCTGCAGAAAAAATGCTTTTTTCTTTCAAATCTGCCCCATTTGAAGAAGAGTGATATATTGAAACATTACTTTTTTTAATACTAATATCGGAAAATATAATCATTGTTCGTAAATATTTCTTCTATTACTAAATGTAGTACAATACGCTTTTATATAATTATACGCCCCTAAACCACATTATTAAATATTATATTGGATGTCATCTAGTAAAAAAAGTAAAGATAATAGTAGATTGTTTTATTAGAATTAAAAGTGCCATTTTTTGCGACGAGCAAATTTTGCATTTGCGAGGCGGAGCGAAGCGAAGCCGAGCGGATGCAAAATTGCGAGTCAAAAACTGACTTTTAATCCGAATGAAACATACTACTTTTTCGCCAGCCAAAAAGTAAATCTCAAAAATACAGAGAGTTCATTAATGATCGAGAACCACGTGACCAGTTAATTATTTGTAACTAATAAATCGATTGGCATTATTGATTAATGATCAATTATTTTTACTAAATTGTTATTGTTTATCTGCCATTAGTGTCATTTACGATCAGTAGTGTCCTTGTAATAATAATTCCCATTCTCGTTCTGTTTTTAGTGTTTTCTAATTGTTTACTTACATACAAATCAGTTCTTTTCAGAACTAACTACTTGAAATTAACAACTGTGTGGTACGTAATCAAATTTGGTAAAATTTTACAAAACGCAGGCACTGTTCGATTTCACACAAACTGTTTGCACAAAACTCTTCTAGAGCACCCCCTGATCACGTTCCTTACCTTCAAATGTAGTGCCACAAAAAATTGTTAAATTTTGCATTCCTTCACTCTTTAATATCAGCCGTTGCTAATATAACCTAACTTTTTACAGTCACCAACGCGCGGATGCGCGGAAGGGTAATGTCTGATTTTTAATAGACACACGGGTTCTTCGCGCCCACAGAAGGTTAGAAACGTGTTCAGGGGGTGCTGCAGAACAGTTCTGTGGAAATGGTTTGTGCGAAGGCGAATGGTGCGTTGTGTGAAGTTTCACACCAAATGTCTATATAAAATTAAGTACGTTTACTTTGACATTTTCAGGAAAACTTGTTGTTTAACAATGGTCTTCACACCCGAACAGGATGCTTTTATTCTGATGGCTCACTTTCGAAGTGGAACCCGAAACCCAGACGGAACCTGGTCTTATTCACTGCAGTCGTGTATTGACCAATTTACGGAAGCCTTTCCAGATGCCAATGTTGGGTATCAAACATTTGCAAATCATAAGGGGGTCCTTGTTCATCGTTTTGAGACTAAAAATTGTATTTGCAAAGGAAAGACAACTGGCAGAAAAACTGTTTTGACTGAAGAAGTTACAGAAGACATCCAGCATCAGTTAGAACAAAGTCCAAATAAATCTATACGAAAATTATCAGCACAGACAGGTAAAGATTGGTTGTCAGATTTTTTATTTTTTAAAGGCGTTAAATATTTTCATAAGAATTAAAGAGATTTTATGATACAGTTTAAAAGTTAAATTGTTGCAGGTCTTTCAGTCGGAAGTTGCCATAAAGCACTACATAAAGTTCTGCACATGCACCCGTATAAAGTTTCAGTCGTCCATGAATTACTTCCACCGGATTTTGAGCGAAGAATAAATTATTGCCAATGGTTTAATAATAATTTAAATGATGATGCCTTATTAGACTTAACATTTTTCACTGATGAGGCATGGTTTCATTTGAGTGGATACGTGAATAGTCAAAATTATAGAACGTGGGCTACTGAGAATCCTCATATTTTTGTAGAAACTAGTTTGCATCCAATAAAAGTTGGAGTTTGGGTAGCCATTTCAAGAAGAAGAATTATAGGACCGATTTTTTTTCACGATACGGTGAATGCTGAAAGATATCGCACTAATATTCTACAACCCTTTTTCGAACAACTGCATGATGACGAATGCCAGTATGGTTACTTTCAGCAAGACGGAGCGACGGCACATACAGCAGGAAGCACACTTCGCTTCTTGCAGGAAGTTTATGACGATCGAATTATAAGTCAAGGACTGTGGCCCCCAAGATCGCCAGATCTCACCGCGCCGGATTTTTTTTTTGTTTGGTCATTTGCAGAACAATGTTTTCAAAAATAGGTTGCATACCATTGATGAGCTGCAACAAGCAATAACCCATGAAATTGAAAATATAACTCCTTACACTCTTCAACGAGTATTTGATAACATGAAAAGAAGAGTTAATATGTGTATTGCTAACGAAGGAAACCATTTTCAACATTTATTGTAAATACCTAAATAAAAACAATTTATGAAATGCTTTATTTTTTTTATTCTTAACTCCTTTGTGACGCCAATGAATTTAGGGACATTAATCTGCACTATTGCCAATTGTGTATGTTTGGTTGCATACATTTTTGATCACGTGGTTCTCGATCATTTATGAACTCTCTGTACAAAATATTGATAACAATAATATCGAGCAGAAATGAATCAATCTGCAAAGTAGTCTGGTATCCACGTCGTCAAGGCTTTTTTTGTTTGCTTACATACCATTGTTTTGTGAAAACGTTTGCAGTGTTAATAATGAATCCTGAAGAAGAGTTACCTCCCGATGTGCTAGAAGAAGCACAAAACGTGGTACTGAACTTGTTACCAACAAAATCGCGCGAAGTGTTATGAGTGCGCGTATACCCGCTTCATCAAATGGTGCGAAGGGAAAAAGATTCAAACTTATTCTGAGAACGTCCTATTGGTATATTTTTCCGAATTGGCTACAAAAATGAAGTCATCCACACTGTGGTCGCAGTATTCCATGGTGAAAGCAACTTTAAATATAAAAAATGGCATAGAAATCGGAAAGTATTCAAAATTAAAAGCGTTTATAAAGAAACAAGGAGAAGGATACGTTCCAAAGAAATCAAGGGTTTTAACTAATGAACAAATAGAAGTTTTCTTAGACACGGCTCCGGATTTCAAATTCCTGATGATGAAAGTATGTTTATAACCTAATGAAGAGCTTATATTTATTTTACGAATTTTTTTCAGATTGTTGTAATCTTTGGCGTTAGCGGAGCTTGTCGGTGTCACGAACTATTACAAATAAAAACTGAAGATATTGAAAATATTAAAGCAGGTTTATTGGTAAAAATTCCTGATACCAAAACGAAAAAACCCAGATCATTTACGGTTATGGGGGAAAAGTATTTGAAATTTTACGAAAAGTATGTTGCGCTTCGTCCAAAAATGTTTAATGAAGGTCGGTTTTTTATTAAATATGTCGACGGAATGTGCCATCGACAAGTAGTTGGCATTCATAAAATTAGTGGTGTACCCCAAGAAGTAGCCAAATATTTAAAGCTAGAAAACTTTAAAGAATACAGCGGACATTGCCTACGTCGGACTTCTGCCACGCTTTTTGTGGATTCTGGCGGTGATATTACGTCCCTCAAGAGGCACGGTGGGTGGAAATCTGACAGTGTAGCCGAAGGTTACATAGAAGAGTCTCTTAAACACAAAAAAGATGTAGCAAAAAAAATTTTTCGTTTGGAAGAACCAGGTACAAGTAGTGAAACCACAAGTAAAATACATGAAGACGCAACGAATAGGAATGTGAGCGAAGTAAACCTAGAAGAATCAGGTACAAGTAGTGGAACTACGAATAGAATGATCACACGTGAAGACGGAATAAGTAGGAATGTGGGAGCAGTAAACCTGAATTTTGACACTGTGACCAACCAGACAGCAGGAGCGGTAGAAGTGTTAGCGCAAAATATTATTACTGACCGCATGAAAAATGATAATAGTGACGGAAAATCTTTAATCCAAATCAATCGCAGTTGTTCTTATTGTACATTCAATATTAATTTTAAAATTTAAATAATTAATAACAATGTAAGTTAATAATAAAATTGGAAAATATTAATAGCATTTCATTCTCAAAATAAAACAATTGAAAACTTTTTAAGGCTAGGATTAAAAAAAAAAATTAATGCTAGGATTAAAAAGGCAAAAATGACGTTGTTACTTTAGTAACGCAACTTTTTTTTACTCTCACAAAAACGTCAAGTTTTCCGTCCAAAATTGACGTTAAAAGTGACATCTTTTAAGACGGCTGGCGAAAAATAATATTTTTGAAAAATATTTTGGAACACATATTCACCTTGATAACATCAAGTCAACAATGAAGAGTCCACGTGTCGCTTATTCTTTGGGATGGTTAAGAAATGTAATATATTGGAAGCAGTTTTTGTATAATACAGATGTTATCAAGGTACCCAAATCTAATAACTTGTACTGATGAAATTTTTTCAATTTTTGTTTGCATCTTTTTTTTTTAGCACTTGATGTACAAAAATGAAAGTTTTCAAGGTTTGGAATGCAGCACGAACAATTAAAAAATTTGTTGCAGTGCACGAATGCGACAGTCTTCTTCAGGAACTTATTTCTAAAGGTAACCAAATATAATTAATTTATGCAATTAATTGTTTGAATAAAATACTGCAGCCAGTCGAAAATTAAATATACACGAATCAGATGAGCTTAAGCTGTATTTAGAGTCAGACGGAACTGAAGTTGATGATGATTCCATAAATTTGGAAACCATTCAAAATCAAGTGTTGTTGTTATTAAAGAAAAATGAAGTGTGGCAACCATGTAATGACACTGCTAAAATTTCCTCACCTACATCTACTACAACATTAGATTCTGAGGAACAGAAAAAATTAAGCAGCGACTCAACTCTTACTATACCGTCTACTAGCAGTGAAGGGCTAAACGTTTCTGAAAATACTTGGATTCATTTTAAGATTCCTTGGGAAAAATTAACACGATCTACTATCGATTCCCTTGAAAAAAGTCAGTGCGATAAACAAACCAGAAGAAAAGTTGTTAACGTTATTGTTGATAATATGTTAGATATAAGTAACGAAATACCAACAAAGACCTTTCAAATCATCGCTCATAAACTAGTGGCAAAATATCCTAAATCTTTCCAAGATTATGACGATGACGGGATGGTAATTGGAAATGGTTTAATTACTATCTGCAATCAGCTCAAAGAAAGGTACAAATACCTAAAAGTTACACATAAAAGAAACTCCCCAGTTGAATCAACACTCCCAGTCCCAATTAATAAAAGAAAAAAGTTGTTGTCTGCAAAAGCAGGTTGCGTGGATTGGCAGCCATCTCCATGTGGCTCAAACGAAGACAATGAAATAAAAGAAAAACTAAAAGAAATTGATTTGGAAAACTGGTCTGACGAGAGTGTGATGGAGTTATTACAAAAGAGTTACGCACAGCAACGATATTTTATTAATAAAACTCCCACTGTAATTGATATCAAAAATGAATGGCCAATTTTGCTAAAGTCAGTAGGAATTAAATTCCATTTCAAAAGATTAATGAATAAAAGTATAGATTTGTTATCTAAAAATTTATTTTTGAAATCCGAAAACATAATTAATTTTGGTATCAAGAGACATATTATTAAAAGCAGACCAACGGAAAATAATGAAATTATTAAATGTGTTCTAAGTATAATTTCCAAATATTTTGCTGAAGACGTATGTGAAATTTTCAGCGAAGAAGAGGTAGTAAGTTTTGATAAATATTAATAAAAATAGTAATAATATAATTCCAGGATTTCTCTAGTTTAGAAGACATAATATCACCAAAAATAATAACAAAGACCGAAGGTAAGAGTTTATTATATACAAATCACAACAATTCGCAATTTTGAATGCTTGATTATTATGTGAATAGTAAAAATTTTGTTATAAAGAAGTTTCTTTAATTGATGTATTTACGAACTCAAGAATAAGGTTAGTTTATTTCTTTAAAAACTCTTTTTATAGGTGATGGAACAAAGCGTTACAATATCGTCATGGAACAAGAAATTATTAATACATATTTAGAGATGGATCAAGCGTTAAACGAAGTGTTTGCCTTATATTTCATGTTTAATTTGGAATATCCAAAAAAAAGTTCGTTAACATGGGAATTCATTCAGTTCTTTTTCCTAAAAATATATCCCCAAATAGGATCCAAGAATTTAAAAAAAAATTCGCAAACAAAAATTATTGGATTTTTTCATAAACTACAAAAGGTACAGTTGTTTCTATTACATGTTCTAAAATAAACGTTATTAATTTCAGGTTAACAGTCTTATTGTCTAAGAATCGGTAACACCCGTTACCAGGAGTTATAACATTATGAGTTATTTTTTAGTTATCATATAGAACATTTTTTTATTTTTATACAACTATATGTATAATTTAATTTTTAGCAAATACATGTATTGTTACATCTCGACTGTAGCAGAGTTTTTTTTTCGATAAATTATAGGTATATAGGTAATTTTACATTGCAGGACAAGTTTCACTAAAAGTGGGTAATTTTCTCCAAAAAATTTACTCCAAGAGGGGTTAATTAACCTGGTATATTTTTTTGCAGGAATGGGATTTTCCCATCCCGTTGGTTAATTTTACTGTAAGCAAAAGTATGGAAGGGAAATTTATCTGTGAATATTACCCTATGGAGCTCAAATTTACCAGTGAATATTACCTTGCGGAGGTTTAATTTACCAGGGAATGTTACCTTGTGAAGGTTAAATTTACCGCTAAAAAATTCCAAGGTGTAAATTTACCGTGTAAATTTTCTTGCCGTTCGGGGCAATTACCCGTATGAAAGTAAATTTCTCTTTCGGGTGTAAGACATTTAAGAGGAGTAAATTTACCCTGATAATTGGAGGTAATATAGTTACCTCCAATTATCAGGGTAAATTTCCCCAAAAATTTTTTTCAGTGTGCGTCTGCAAAAATTGCTGTAATTTTTCAATATTTTATTACTTGCATTTTTGTGAAACTAGTTATTTTTGTTTATTATTGCAACTTTCCTTGTGTTTCTTATTAAACTACATTAATTAAAACCGACAACCAGTAACAAATTATTAGTTGGTTCTGTTTAAATAGTAATTTTTTTTATTCTATTGCATTTTTATGTATATTTTAATATTTTTGCTGCATTTATTGTGGTAATTGGTAAAAATCTTAATATTAATACATTGGTTATTGGCAGTAGGTATTCAGGTAAATAAGTATCGATCTTTTCTTGTAATGTGGACGGGTTTTTCCAAGACTGCATTATTGGGCGTATTACTAGAATTCTTCACTTAACGGTCTCTTAAGCCGGATGTTGTAAATATAGATAGTTCTGCAAATGTATTTAACGAGGGGTTGGAAGAGACATCTTATAGGCCAACACTGCAGAACGTCTCTTCACAAATGAAATCGTGAAAAAAGAAACTTAACCAGTGTACATAACTCAAACATCAATACGAGAAACTTTATCTGCTAATATAGCCAAAAACGAAGAGGAAACGGGGGAGTCCGAATTGCGCCCACTACTTGAGTGCTCCCTTACCGTGTTCTTACACCCTACAATGTAGGTAAAAATTACTCTTCATTGGAAAATCCAGTGTTTTGTGACGTCAGTAGAGAATATTTCAATTATAGAATTATAAATGAACTCTAAAAATAAATTGACGAATGCATAGTTTTAATGAGGTGCCATTCTTATAGTAATATTACTCTATACCTACCTAAAATGCACTTATAAAATGTATATTCACTCCAATTAGTAGACAAATTGTGTTACCCTGCATGTTTTATAGAATCAAATTTTCCTCAATCTGATTGTCAATTCATGCACCTATTTGTATATTACACAGATGTTAATGGGCTGTCGTTTCCTGGGATCATGTGGGCCCACATTGAAAAATTTGGAGGAGCAACGACAAATTCTTGCAAATCGTTCCACGCGAAATATAATAACTCATTTAGTTTTTGTCATCCTAATAGTGTTACTTTTTCTTTGTCTTTAAGTAAAAATTTGGTTTTCTTTAATGAAGAAAAATACTGTACTTAGAAATTATGAAAAAAAAGCTCCAACAAGATTTTCAAAATTTTACCTACTTCATGGAGGATAAAACGGGGTAGGTGTGATAATATTTACAGGTAGCGGGCGCAACTCGGAACATTTACCTACAGTAAAATGGCAATTCGGACTTTTTGAGCTCGAGAACTCAGGTAGCGGGCGCAACTCGGATACGTGCGAGGAAACATTCAAGTTCAATTTATGTCACGCCATGCTTGCCTGGAATATTCCATTAAATAACTTAAGTAATCCTACATTTAATTCATTTTTGAAAAAATACCGTAAAAGGACCTTTCCAGGCGAAAGCACTCTCAGCAAAACCACTGCAGATAATTGTTATACCGAAACTATTGCTATATAATATATATATCAATAAAACACAAGATCCTATTGCTCAGTCTCAAAAAAAAACTAGACGAAGTCCTTAGTGAAAATGGGAATTTTACTGAACTAAGTAACGTGCCAAAAGTTTTAAAAGCTGGTTTACACTATTCGACTTTTTCATTCGAGACCAACGAATGAGATCTCGAATTCAAAATCGTTTTGTGTTTACACACCATTAGATTTTGAAGTTCGATGGTGCTGTCAAAAATTAGAAATCTGTCAAAATGCTGTCATCCTGCTTGCGGTGAGGTTATGTATTTATTATTACATTGTTGCCTCTCAGCAAGTGGAACAGGGTGTTTTTTAATCAAAAATGTATTGTGAAACAAATTTAAATAAAATAAACTCGATAGAAATGTCAAAGTATTGTTGGTTGCATACCAATTTAATAAATTTGTCAAAGCAAATTTAGACATTTCAAGTTTGACAGTCACATTATTAAAATGAACGCGTAATTTAAAAGAACTTCTTTTTCAATTAAATGGCTTTTGAACCAAATTGAAATTAAAAAAGAAAAGTGCGGTGTGGAAACACGTTAACGCAGCAGAATGGTCGAGTGCAAACAATGCTTGAAGAAATTAAAAACCTCGGGGAATACGGCCAACATGATGGGACATTTAAAAGCAGTGCATGGATTGGCAGGTTTGGGTAAAAGAAAATGTCATTCTGAAAATACTGAGATGTCACAATTTAACAGTTCAACAAGTTCAACGTTAACTATTACTGAAAGTATTTTTGGGGCCCAGAATGCAACAACGAGATTTATAATGAAACTACAAGACTGTTTCCTAATGTTAATAAGTCAGAAACTTCATGCAGCAGCGATAAAAGTTCCACACCTTATGTGGCAACTCCTAAAAAACAGAAAACAATTGATGATACATTTAAAAGAATTTCTTCATTTTCAAGAGGTGGTCAGAACGATCGTAACATTACTGATGGTAGTTTGTATATGCTGTGCAAAGACTATTTACCTTTATCAACAGTTGAAAATGATGGTTCAAATATTTTTTGAGAGTAGCAATCTGGTTATACAAAATACCTAGTCGGCGACACTTTGGGCGTTTATTAGTTAATAAATATGATGTTTTAAGCTCACAATTTAAAGAAAAACTTCAGCAACATGATTATCTTTCATTAACAACAGATGTGTGGACAGAAACATTAAAAACGGAAAGTTATTTGGGTAGTACTCTACATTTATTAGGTGACACAAATTTCTGTAATATGTAATTTTTTCTTTTTTAATTTTACAGAACATACAACCATGATTAATGCAATTATTGGAGTATACAAACTTGAAGAAAGCCACACTGCTGAATATCTTCAACAAATTTTGCTTAAAGCTCTTGATGAATTGAATTTATCTGTTGAAAAGATCTTGGCGATCACCACTGATAATGGTGCCAACATTGTGAAGACCGTGTGCGATTTGTTTGGAAGGAGCAAAACATATCAGATGTTTTGCACATACTCTTAACTTAGTTCCAGAAAAAGCACTTCAAAACGTCCCCAGTGGTTCAAATCTAGCGTCAGAGCCATGGATGAATTTAATAAGACTTCAACAACAAGATGGGATATTGCAACCATTAAAAGTTACAGAAGATGTAAGCACCCGGTGGAATTCCACTTACTACATGATTGATCGCTACAAATAGTTACGAAAACAAATTAATGATGTACTTCGTAGTAACCCCAATGCTTTGGTCAATTTGATGTTATAAAAGGAATTCACCAGCTTCTAATGTCACTAGAAGCAACTACAAAAGTGTTAAGTGGAGAAAATTATGTCAGTATTAGCAAAGTAATACCTATTACTGCTTGTTTAAAAAAAAAAACTTGAATCATCTGTATGCAACAATGAGGATGTTATATCGTTAAAAAATCAATTATGTTTAGAAATCGAAAAAAGATTTGGACTAATTGAACAAGTACACGTTTTGCAATTGGGACCTTGCTTGACCCTCGCTATAAAAAGCTTCATTTTAAAGATTTTCTTGCAGCTTCTAAAGCAGTAGAAATTGTAGAGTTATATGAAAAATAATGTACCTTTAAATGACATTACTGATCCAGTACAAAATGGTGCTTCTAACAGTACTATGATTCAAGATACAGGTGGGGATACTTAATTTGATTTGTGGAGTTATCATAAACAGTTGATAGCTCAAAATTATACTGAAAATGTGCAACACGCTGAAGACGTTGAATTACTGATTAAAGCAGAGTTAAGTCAATACTTAAAAGCTCCAGTCGTTGAGCTCTATATGGACCCTTTCGTATTTTGGGAAGAAAACAAAATGGCATATCAAAATTTATATAAGATTGCCAAAATTCATTTGCAGCCAAGCGCAACTTCCGTTCCATCAGAGCGTTTACTCTCTAAGACAGGAAACCACCTTGTTTGATAAAAATTAGTAAAAGATATCGATTGTATAAAATATCGATGTTTTGGGGGTACGATACATCGAATATCGATTTTGAGAAAAATATAAATAGATGTTGAAAAAATCGATGTTTCACTTCAATGTGCCCATCTCTAACTCCAGTAGATTAGTTGAACCTACTGTCGAACCTAACCTTGCAAACGCATTTTCCTCTTCCTCGTCATTTTCAAATATACAAAGCAATCAATTAACTTTAAATTTAAACCCAGAATCCACTTCTTCAACTCCATGTTTTAGTTTCACCAACTGCACAATTTCGAATTTAACTTTCAATATTAACAATGCAGAAAAAAAATGATATTCAGTTAACGTAACGATTGTATTGACCGATTTCAAATAGTAAATTATTGTATTTTGAATAATTATAAAACTTCTGTTAGTCGAAAAATAAACTTATTTCATTTTATTGAATCATTATTCATTGAATCTTGTGGTGTGATCTGATTCAAAAGGTCAAAAAAGCAAACAGAAAAAGTCTGCTATTCAAAGACGTTTGACAGAT